GATACCCACCTTGTACAACTTTTTAGCTATAGTAGTGTTTTTGTAAATTTTTTAGATCTTTCTATGAGGTGGGAGATGTTCCCTCTCCTCTATTTTCTGAAAGACTGTGTAGAATTGGTAACATTACTCCCTTGAATACTTGGTAGAATTCACAAGTAAAGCCACCTGGGCCTGGAGCTTTCTCTGTGAAAAGGTTTGTAACTATGACTTCAATTTTTTTCAAAGATAAAGGCTATTTAGATTACATATTTCTCCTTGGGTGAGCTCATAGTTTGTGTCTTCCAAAACATTTCTCCATTTCATCTAAATTGTAAAATTTACTGGAATAAAGTTGTTCATAATAATGTTTTATCACCTATAGGATCTTAGTGATGTCTATGCTTTTATTCTTGATGTTGGTAATTTGTTGCACTTATTTTTTTTAAATTTTTTATTGTTATGTTAATCACCATACATTACATCATTAGTTTTTGATGTAGTGTTCCATGATTCATTGTTTGCATGTAACACCCAGTGCTCCATGCAGAACGTGCCCTCCTTAACACCCATCACCGGGCTAGCCCATCCCCCCACCCCCCCTCCCCTCTAGAATCCTCAGTCTGTTTCTCAGAGTCCATCGTCTCTCATGGATCATTGTTGCACTTAGTTTTGATACATTCTGACTATTAATCCTTATCTCTTACAGATCTGAGTATTAATCCTTATCTCTTAGAGAAGTTGCAAATGCTTTTTCCTAACTTACTGCTTTTCTTTGAACTTTGTAGTATGTTTAGTCATACAGAAGGAAATTTTAAATTTAGATATAATCAAACATATCAATTTTTTAATGACTGGTGATTTTCACTTTTTGTCTGAGAAATCCATCTATCCCACAAAGTCAGTCATAAGAATATTCTTCTGTATCACTTTTTTTTTTAAGATTTTATTTATTTTAGAGAGAGAAAACATGTGCACACGTGTGTGTGGGGAGGAGAGCAGAGGAGGAAAAAATCTCAAGCAAACTCCATGCTGAGCACAGGGCCCAATGTGGGGTTTGATTCCCTGATCTGGAGACCACGACCCCAGCTGAAACCAAGAGTTGGACGCTCAACTGACTGAGCCACCCAGGCACCCCTCTCCTATATCACTTTCTAATAGTTTTAAAGTTTTACTTTTTTCCATTTAGGTCTTTAATTCACTTGGAATTTTTGTTATGGTGAAAAGAAAGGACCTAATTTTATTTTCTTTGAGAAGGAAACCCAGTAGTTTTCACATCAGTAATTGAATAGATCGTTCTTTTCCCACTCATTTGTGATGCCATCTTTGAAAAATGCCAAATTGCTTATATGCTTGGTCTTGTTCTGGGATCTCTATTATGTTCACTTTGTTCTACTTGTCTATTGCTGCACCCGTACTATAGATTCTTTATAAGTTTCAATATCTGGAAAGTCAAGTCCCTCTGCTTGCTCTTAATTTTCAGGATTGTCTTGAAATTTTTTGGATCTTTATTTTTCCATACGAATACTAGAATTATTTTGCTAGGTTCTATGTTAAAATCTTGTTCTATCTAGGTTCTATCTTGTTCAATCTACACTCTACCTAAAATCTTGTTAAGATTTTAATCGATGTTGCCCCTGTCAATGTTGCTGCTGAAACTGCCTCAGCAAAACCAAATGCCTCCGTCAGCGTGGACCCCAGCTAAAAAAACCCAACACATCACAAGTATGGCATCCACATCACTCCCCCCTCCCAAATTCCAGCTGTATCTGACTGATAGGACACTAAATCACACCTAGAAGCCTAGCTGCAAGAGACTTTGGGAAATGTACATTTTAGCTTTAAAGACTTTGCAGTACAGAGTAGTGAACAATGGACTTCACAGTATGGGTATTAGTGGGTTATGAAATCAATTAGCGGGTCACAAATGGTATTTAAAAAAATGAAATAGAACAGAATATAAGTTATCAGTGTGCCTAGCAAGAATAAGTATTGTTTCAAAGAAGTTTTTTATATATATATAATATAGTTTTATATATTTGTAAAATTTTGTTTATATTTATATATATTCATAAATCCTTATTTATATATATAAAACTTCGATGAAACAATACTTATTCTTTTTTTTTTAAGTAGTCTTTCCACCCAAAGTGCAACTTGAGGGGCGCCTGGGTGGCTCAGTCGTTAAGCATCTGCCTTCAGCTCAGGTCATGATCCTGGGGTCCTGGGATCGAGCCCTGCATTGGGGCCTTGGCAGGAAGCCTGCCTCTCCCTCTCCCTCTCCCACTCCCCCTGCTGGTGTTCTCTCTCTCGCTGTGTCTCTCTCTGTCAAATAAATAAAAATCTTAAAAAACAAAAACAAACAAAAATACCAAAGTGCGACTTGAACCTGCAACCCTGAGATCAAGAGTTGTGTGCCCTACTGACTAAGCCAGCCAGGGACCCCAAAACAATACTTATTCTTATATATATACATACATATTTATACACATAAAATATTTTAAACATTATATAAATAAGGGTTGAGAGAAAGAGAAAGTGAGAATAAGAAGGAGAGAGAATATATATATAAAAAAAAAGAAAACATTTCTTATTATGGGTCATGATCAAGAAAGTTTGAAGGCCAAGGTCCTAGGAAGGTGCCGAGACACTATGTGCTAATTCACCACATGTAGTACAATATCCCTTATTTTGCTAAGGAAGTTTCATCTGCTAATAGCTTTTATTTTGAATAGGTGACTTTTGCCAAATAATATTTATATATATAGAGAGAGGTAATTGTAAGTTCTTTCTCCTTTAATTAAATACACAAATGAATTTCCAACAATGCATCATCTTTGCATTTTTCTCTAAAAATATTTTTATAATTACCTATTGTGCCATGACTCCCTAACTTTGTTACGGCCCCTGTCCCACATACCATCCATAATTTCTAGCAGATTCTATATTTGCCCAGTTTGTCAAAGATGCTTCTATACATCCTGACACATTCTTTAAGAACAAAAAATGTCTATGCTTTGTGATTCTTATTAAATTAATAAGAAGCCAAAATATCTGCACTTTATTTAATTAAAAAATTCTCTGTAGATAACTTTCCAATCTCAGAACCAATGATCTAGTAAGAATTTGTAATGGAAGAGTAAGTCCTATAGGAAAGCTGTATTTTTTTTTTTTAAAGTTTTCAGTTACTTTTTTTTTTTTTTTAAGATTTTTTATTTATTCATTTGAGACACAGAGATAGAGAGAGAGAGAGAGCATGAGCAGGGAGAGAGGCAGAGGGAGAAAGAGAAGCAGGCTTCCCACTGAGCCAGGAGCCCGACATGGGGCTCGATCCCAGGACCCTGGGATCATGACCCAAGCTGAAGGCAGACGCTTAACCATCTGAGCCACCCAGGCGCCCCGGAAAGCTGTATTTTAATTCTGATATGCAGGTGCCTGGGTGGCTCAATTGATTAAGTGTCTCCCTTCAGCTCAGGTCATGGGATCGAGCCCCCACTGGGTTCCATGCTCAGCAGGGAGTCTGCTTCTCCCTCTCCCTCTGCCCCTCCTCTATCCCCCCACCCACCGCTCACTTGTGTGTGCTCTCTTTCTCAAGTAAATAAAATCTTGAAAAAAAATAATAATTCTGATATGCTAGTGACAATTATTTCAATGTTTTTGTTAAGAATATAAAACTACTGGGTGCCCGGGTGGCTCAGTCGGTTAAGTGTCTGCCTTCGGTTCAGGTCATGATCCCGGGTCCCAGGATTGAGTCCCACGTCAGGCTCCCGGTTCAGTGGGGAGCCTGCCTCTCCCTCTCCCTCTGCTGCTCCCCCTGCTTGTGCTTTCTCTCTGTCAAATAAATAAATAAAATCTTAGAAAAAAAAAAGAATATAAATCTACTAACAGTACCTTCATCAATTTGACCTCCACAGAAATACCTGCCCAGATTATATTCACTTAAGCAGTGCCTCAGAAACTTTCATTGGCTTCTTATTTGTTGTATTTTATTTGCTTATTTTTAAATACTAAAGAATGTTTATATTGCTTGAAAGCAGCCAAATGACAAATATTGCATTTTCAATGGGCACTGGTTTTAACTCACCACATCAGGAAACTATAACACTGTTTCTTTTAACACATCGGTACCAAAGTTCTGGACAAGCTGTTCTAAGACCTTTGACCCTAGAAACTGGGGGTTTCTTACGTGTCTTACATTTTTCTTGCTGTTTTTGAGGAGAAAAGAAATTTAAATTTGAATAAAAAAAGATGCTTTTTACAAATCACTTGTACAAATTATGTTCCCTGTAAATTAAAAGCTTTCCAATCATTTAATCAGTGCAAATATACACAGGTACACATTCTCTACAATCACTATTCTTCAACATTTAATAACAAAAGGAAAAAAATCTCTTTATAAAACGTGGTAGAATGAAAAAACAGTAAATATTAAACTTCACCAAAGGACCATCTAGAAAGAAACAACGACCTTATCAGTGATACAACTGACTCGAGCAGTTGGCAGCCTGCCTGGCCTTCTTATTAGGCAACATGTATAACACCCTTCCCTTTTTCTACCCCACAGTTGGGGAAGCAGGAGACCCAGGGATAGAACTAATGGAATCCTCACTTATTTAGCCAGAGGCAGAGGGAACCCCAGTGCCAACAGAGAGATGGATTCCCAACTGGTCTTCAGTTAGAACCAAGCCATCACACTGGTTGCCCCTGGGTGTTGGGCCTATGGGTGATAGATTTTTTAACTTCTAGTTTCCAAATTTTCTATAAGGGGACGTATTATTCTCATAATGCAAAGAGCGCTCTAACTGACCGAAGAGCACATATATGCTAGTTCAGTGTTTTATTTTTAATGCCCAACCACTAAGAAGACCTTCTAAGTGTCCTTGTAAGTTCCTCCTCTCTTCCTCTCCTGGTGGTGGGCAGCGTCTCCAATCTGCCAGAGATAGAAAAGCAGGATTCCACAGTTTGGGGGTTTGGGTCACATTTGCCTGGGATTTATAAAAATGATACTGCAAGGAGTTCCACAGTTTTCTTGATGGTTAGAAACAGTAATATTTATTAGATACTGATTGTGTCTAGGCCCATATTCTTCGGCAAATAGCAGAGAGAAACAAACAGCAGGAGAGATGGTCCCTATTTATGAAGAGCTCAAAATATCATCAAGGGCATAAAGGACATAAAAATACTTTAACAAATACAAAGGTACAGACTAATAAGAGTGCAAACCAAGAGGTTAGTGTGGAAGGGGACGGGAAAGTGTCAGAGCCAACTGGGGGTGATGCCTCCAAGATTTCCAGAAGCAGGCCCCATGACGTCTTCTCTTTACCTCCAATGCAACTTCTCTTTCTCCCAAAGTTAGTAAAATGGAAATTCTGAAACACTGGAATGTTCCTTGTTGGGAAAGCAGCCTAAGGCCATATTGCACAAACTTGTTGATTCCAGGTTAATACTCCTACTTGAGATAGCATTCAAGTTTCAAGGGAAACAGGTATTTCCAGCATATGATTTTAGAAAACTAAGTGCGACAGACTTATTTTAAAGTTGGCAGTACTTCATGAAAAAAACCACATTTCCTATGAAATTACTTGCTTTTTACTCTGACTACAGAGGCAGGGACTGATCTGGGATCAGAAGCGTTCAAGTTCTTAACGGTTGCCCAAGTGCCTTGTTGCACAATGCCGAAAACAGACAAACAAAAACCCGTGACAGATCATTTTCTTTTCTTCCTTATAAAAGCTGCCCCTTTTCAAGTGCCCAACATGTCTGTCACTCTGCAAGTGCTCTCCGCCCTCACAAAGCTTCATCTGTTACCGAGCACGGTTCTGAAGTGAGTGCTGGTACTGGAATCTGAGATGGACCAGTTTCTGGAGATGCGCACAGGTCTGAACTGTCAAAGGGAATGGACAGGGAACTGCAGCCACACCTCGGGCTCTCGGAAAACCGCTTCAGTACAGTTGGCTTTTCCTAGGCAATCGTCTGTAGGACTCAAGGCACGAGGAGCTCAAGCCAACCCTAAGCTTGGAAAGCAAGGGGTGGACAGTTAGGGTAAAGCTGGAGGCCTTGGGCCACATACAGTTACCTCTCAGTGCTATTCCTCTGGCAAAAAACTGGAATGTGAACAACAGTCGGCCTCAAGAGATTCCTGGTGAGGCACAGATGATGGGGGTAGATGTCAAATATGGTATTAGGATGAAATCTTAAGGATGGTTTATCTTATTCCACTAACGTGGTGAGAAGGAATTTTACATGTCTGCCTTTAGGTCATGATCAAGGATAAGCAACACAGTCAGACTTCTAGAAACAAATTAGCTTTCCACTCTGGTGTGCGGAGTTGAGCTATCTGGCCAGAAGTCATGGTTCGGAAATAAACCTGAATTGTGGACTAACGAACGACTGTTCCTTCAGTATTGTGATGTCCTCGCTCATGAAATCTCTTCTCCATTGTCCTTTGTGCCTGAAAAAAAATGAGCCCATGCTGAGGACCTTCCATGCATGTTCAAGCCTGTGCTTCTACAACTCTTAGGTTTCCTGGAAAAGCCTGCCTTCGCCAGAGGCAAGGAGATCATCTGCTTGTGAGGGGGGAGCCGGGGCTCTTCACTTAATCATCTGGGTTTCTTCATCTGCATCGAAAAACTCCTCCTCTTCCTCACTCTCACTGCCTAAAGTGTTGTCCTTGTCCACAGACTGAAAGGGGAAAGGAGAACCAGAATGGTCACATGATGCCATGACATTTCTAAAATGCACATTATTATCTAGCACTCAACTGACAAATGCATTTTTATGACATCTCCCCTAAGATTTCACCCTAAAGTGTTCTACGAAAGTGAATGAATCACCGGCCACCTTCATTTCTCTAAAAAACCAGTTGCTATTAATCTCACACCTGTTTTCCAACAGTTTTGCTTGGTTCTATTAAATCTAACCAGAACATTCTTCTGCTGCCCCCCCAAACTATCATCATCCCAAGAGGTATACCTGAAAGATTAAGAAGACTATGAAGACTGGGGCAACTGGGTGGCTCAGTTGTTAAGCGTCTGCCTTCGGCTCAGGTCATGATCCCAGCATCCTGGGATCGAGTCCCACATCGGGCTCCCTGCTCTGCGGGAGGCTTGCTTCTTCTCCCGCTCCCCCTGCTTATGTTCCCTCTCTGGCTGTGTCTCTCTGTCAAATAAATAAATAAAATCTTTAAAAAAAAAAAAAAGAAGACTATGAAGACTATGCCATACCTGTGGCGGATCCAAGGTCTGTAAAGATAATGCTTCATCCCCTAGCCTCCGATATGAATACACCTGAAGGTCGGAAAACGTCTCTAGCAATGGGCTGTTAAGGGTTTCCGGCAATAATAAACTCAGGAGGCCCGAAGTCAGGCCGGTGGCTCCAAAGACAATGAAGGGTAAAGACCACTGCACATATCTCTGTGGGGGCAGGGAGTAGAACAAAAACATACAAAAACTCAGTATCCATTTCCCAGCATGTGACATCAGCAGTTTTATGACCGAGGCATGGCCATGTTTACTATTCCTACTAGAATACACAATAAGCCACTTCCTTCCCCATGGAGAGTTACCCTGGGAAATCATGGAGTGCTTGCTCAGGCACGCAGAAGTGGGAGTGAGTACACAGAGAGGCGGCAGAGGTATGTGCATAGGATCGGAAGCAGGGGGGTGGGTACTGCTTTCACTGCAGGCAACTCGCTTAGAACACAGGGATTTCCACATACTCTTTGCTTGGGAGACACCTCAAATACTCGCTCACCATAAAGTTTAAAGTTCTCCACCCTGGAATCAGCCAATCAGTATGCTCGCTGATTCACTTAGCACTGAGTGAGGGACAGGCCAGGCTAGTAGGGAGAGATAGGGAGGGGGCTCCCGTGATCAGGCTCACAGAAATCCCCAAAATGAGGAGGTGTAAGGAAACCAGAGATAAGGAACACACCAGATCGCCCTGCCCTAGGTGTCATCGGAGGGGGGTCTCTTTTTATGACAGTCACCTGGGACCAACAGAGATTAACCAGACCCTAAAAAAAAGTAAGCCATTAAAGATGTTGTCACTAGTTCTTACACAAAAGTGCTATCAGTAGAGAAATTAAAAAGATTTAAGTTCCCTGGTTAGCTTTCAATAAAAGACCAATCCTAAAAGCCCTCAGGGGCAATCCTGTGGGGGCCCCTTTCCCTGCTGAGAGCTTTTTTATTGTATCCTTGCTTAATAAAAACTCTATCCCTTTCCTCTCCTTTGTCTGCGAGATTCATTCTTCAACTCCATGGGACAAGAACCTCGCTCTCCCGCTTCAGCAACATGCCTGGAGGACGGGGTTAAAGTTACGAACACCCCAAAAAGAAAAAGAAAACCCTAAGGAACCCGTGTGATTTAGAAACTACCTGAACACAGTGATACAGCTTTGCTTCAGAGATCCAACAGACATTCTTAGGAAAATTTAGTTTCTTGAAACACAAACTGGCTCAAAGATAATGACACAGAAAACTATGTTGCTCTAGAGCCACTGGGGTGTTACTCTGGGGCCTTTCTGAGCTGATCAACATTCTTGAATTCCTGTATAGGAGTTGCTTAGCTTTATGCTTTTCTCTTTTGGGCTTCCAAATTACGTGGATAGGACCACTACTAGTTAGGATATCCTCTGCCTGATTTTTCAGAAGTAAAAAGATGATGGACAAAGTGGGGCGAGGGGTGGAGGTGGGAGGGGGGAATCTCACTTCTGGAGCCCACATGCAAACACAGGTCCAACACTGTGGGTGTGCTGCTGAATCAAGGGGGACACAACACTCTCATCTCTTCTCAACTGAGCAGGAATAGAGGTACAGTGCTAGGTATTCTAATGTTCTAGGAGAGCCATCCAGAGTCAGAGATCTTTAGAGATAAACCCCTAATGTCCACACACTTTGCAGAATGGAACTAATTTATATTAGAGAAATGGTCTTATACTGTAAAATTAAGCATGAAACATGGAAAGAGATACCCATGAAAAGGAAGTATACTGCAAGTCAAAGACAGAAAGATGGAAGGAAGGAAGGAAGGAAGGAAGGAAAGAGAGAGAGAGAGAAAGAAAGAAAGAAAGACAGAAAGAGAGAGAGAGAGAAAGAAAGAAAAAGAGGCCACAGTGGCATTTCAGAGACATTCTCCCGTGCTAGTGAGGCAGGGACACCAAAGGGACGCTATGAGAGAAAAAGCTGGTTTTCCCTTTGCTGCTTTTCCCGCTTCTCCTCTTGCTAGGACCCGCACTCCCAGCCCACTTTACACACGCCTTGTAAAGCAAATCGCATAGGTCCTTCTTATAAGAGGTCAGGACTTAGTGATTTCTCTAGAACAGATAATATCTAAGGAAGGACCAGGTGACAATAACCAGGTGAAGCTATCATATGAGCATTCCAGACCACTGGAGACATTCTAGACATCTCCATGGCAAGACACCTTGGCTCCAAGGAATAACACGGGGGCCCTTGTCTTTGTTCTAAGCGGTTCCTGGATGCCTGGATGCCTGAGAGGACACGTACACCAGACCACTCCCAGCCCCATGGACAAAGATGAGACTCCTTCCTTTCCTTTCTGAGCCTCCCAGACAGTCACTCCATCTGTATCTGCTTTCTCCAGATCTTCAATAAACTCTTTCACCTCCTGCTGGCTCACATTTGATTTCCATGCTGCGTGAAGCCAAGGACCCTCCTGGCTGGTCCTGCGGGAACCCCCTGGGTGTATCGCTAGTGGGCAGAACAGTTGTCTACACAGCACATCCAGGCACCCCTTGTTGAGTGCTGGCTGGGAGGGCAATAGTTCGGCCCAGCAGAGACATCCGCAGGGGCTCCGGGGATTAATCTGTCACAGAACTGGAACATTTCAAGACTGGAAGGATTTTCAGGGCTGCCATTAGGTCTATCCCCTTTCTTTTGACTATGACATTTAGGAAACACTAAAAACTCTTAATAGACACACTGCTAGGCATGTTTCTCTTCTAATTTTCTTGTGTAAGTGGTGTGCCTTTGGGCAAGTTACCTAACCTGCTTCTGATTTCTCATCTTTAATAGAGGGCAACAACCATGCCTGCCTCACATGGTTCTTGTGAAGCTTACTTGAGATGATATGTGTTGAAGTGCTCAACATGGAGCCCAGCACATCGCAGAAGCTTAATAAATATTCACTGGCTGGCTAACTTATGAATGGAGATAGGAAGGAGCACACTGGCATTAGCTAACTCTCCAGTAAATGCAGATAAGCAAACACGCGGAGCCTCGGGGCTAAGAGCATCCTGGGTCCGAGCCCATCTGCCCTGAGGGATACGTAATCTAAAAGATACAAGGTTCCCATGCCCGGCAGGCTGATCTTAAGTGGCAACTGTTCATTACCACCTTCTACTCAAAGGCACAAGCATTTCCAAAGCAGAGAATCCAGAAAAACAAAACTAGGAGGTACAAACCAACCAGTGAGGGGATGAAGGGGGCAATAATCCCACCAACTCGGGAGAACATAGAACAAGTTCCAAGCCCAACGTTCCTGAAAGGCATAAAAAGGGGGGGAAAAATCAGTAAGTTCTGGCAGGGGCGGCGGGGGCGGGGGGAGTGTAAAGACCCTGTGGGACAATGGGCCTGTAATAATAAATCCCAAGGTGGAGGAAGCACAAGCAGTGCTGCCTGCTAGAACATTCTGAGCCGCTGGAAATGTCCTACAACCGCACTGTCCAATATGGAAGCCGCTAGACAGCTATTAGCACTAGAAATGGGGCTAGTGAGAACGAGGAACTGGGTTTTTCATTTGCTTTATTTTAATTAGTTTAAATTTAAATAGCCACATGAGGCTAGTAACTCCCATACTGGACAGTGCAGTTATTACAGAGAACAGTTGTAGAAACGACCATGAGAATGTTTCTTGTCAAATGTTCTTACGGGTTTTTGTGTGAGGTTTCCTCTGAATTGATATACCCGTGGAGAGCCAGGCCTTTATGACCTGAGAAGTCTGCCCATTTATTTAAATTCAACAAATTGACGATTCAAGGGTCAGGCATATGACTATGAATTGAGCACATATTATCAGGAGACCAGGAACGTGACCTTTGTGAGGAGTACGGACATGCAAGAGGTGGGAGGGGGTGGGAATGAGAGCAGTTACAGGTGGGGTGGCCAGGCAGCACCCTCTCACCCCAGCCTAATTGTTAGCAATGGCAAAATGGTCATCCTAGCATCACAGCCAGGAGCCAGAGAAATCAGGTCAGAGGAATAATTAGGAAATGACCAGCCAATCACAGACAGCCTGGGAAAAACTGGAGGAAAAGGGACTTAAATTAATAGGCAGAAAGAATCATTCAGTTTGCACGGATAAGGGAAACATTTGGAATGATCTCTGAAAAGCCTGGGGAAGTGCTGAGCTAGGGAGCTCCTGCCCGGCCCTCAGAGGCAGTTCTAAGAAGACTGAGCTACATCCCTGCCCTTCCCATCTTGTTTTCAGACTTATTTTATGAGGGGGAAACCTCAGAGTATGTTCTTTTTGATAGGAGCATGTCCTACTCATTAGAAACCACATTTAACAACTAATATGAAAACCTCATCATCACTTCTAAGTGGAATTATCTTTTTAACAATGTGTATATTCTGAGTGAAAATGTAGGTCCTGTGAGAACAGGGACCTAGTCCCCTTGCCTGACATGTGCCTGACACAGGATGGGTGACTGAATAAATTCAATCCAATGAAATCAAGACGGCATCCGAGCACTCTTTGGGTGATGGGATGTGTTCATTGTAGAGGACTTCCCTCATGATTTACACGAGGGAGTTCAGCCCAACATACAGCTACGTTTTCCTCAGCCAAGTGGGCTGAGTGCAGTCTACACAGGCAACTTCTGGGCTTAGGCCTGCTTGCTGGATCGTTGCTGGCCCACACTAACTCTGGTCCTGGTGGAACGAGAACCATCCCTCTGCCGCTGCAAGGGTCTACAGCAAAACATGCAGGACGTGTGAGGCTCACCTGATGACTGTGGGGTACAGCTCAGAGGTGTAGATGTACACCACGTTAAAGGCCGCGCTGATCGTCAGCTTCCCGAGCAGAGACAAGGAATGGCTGTTCACCACGGCAAACACACCTGTGTCTGAGGAGGACAAGGGTAACACCGTGAGGTCCTTCAGGGAGAAAAACACCTTTAAATGACTCACTGAATTCTGAAGGAGCCAGAGGCATGAATAGTGATCTCAAACGGTAAGGAGGTAGTGTCATGGAATACACATTCAGAAGGTTCAGTGAGCACACATAACACACCCACACAAATATTCTCCCAGTGTCTTGGCTAGCTCTCCGACACCTTCCACAGTGGTGGTCATTGTGGGTGATTAAACTCGCTTCCTCCTCAGTGACAGAGCTCTTGGAAAACTGTCCTGTAGTAAAGCAAGCTTCATGGGGATGGTAAGTCTCATCCACCATGGGATGGCCTCTCCTTCCCAACCTCGTTCAACAACCAGTGATGTGAAATGGTGGTTAGCATGACAAGCTCTGGCGCGTTCGGGCCGTAAGTCTGACGGATGTAAGAGGCAGAGGGCCGGTCCAGGAGAACGACTCTCTTCAGTGGGCGTTTCTTGGTGTTCCATTGGAAGATAAGGAATAATCCCGCTAAAAGACTACCAGAGGGTATAAATTAATGTTCTTTAAAGAACAAGACTCTAAATATGGAACTACTTTTAATCTTTCTTCCTGCCCAACTTCTTACTTGAATTACTAATCACTAATGATATTTCAGTTTCTTAATGTTACGTCTTTACATAAAATACAAAAATACAGATTATGGCAGCTCATTTCCCTATCAAAAATACTATCAATTATCCCGTGGTTCTTTCCTTTATTAACATTTTTCTCCCTGGGATCTTGCAATGCAATTACTCCCTTTCAAACATATTTAACCTCTCCCTTCAATAACCCACTAGACTCTGCTTTCAAAATAACAATTTCTCCTTCTAAGGAAAAAAATCTCATTGACTCTGTGGTACTTTCCCCCTTGACTAGCAGACATCTTCAATGAGGGACCAAGCCTCCATTTCCCCAAATACACCTGCCCTGTAGCTCACTACAATCTGGCTTCCGATAGCATGTTCTCCTCCAAAGTCCTACTCTTGAAGGTCAACAGCGAGGTCCTAATCGCCAAAGTAATTGCCTCTCATTCTCCTTGACATTTCTGCCAAATAGAATTCGCTTGTCCCCTTCCTTGCGGCTGCTTGCTTGGCTCATAGAAACCACTCTTCCCTTAAATAACTCAAAAGCAATATCCTCTCCTTCCTTTGACCTCCACTGTGCCTATTCCCTAATCCATTCAACCGGCACGCTTCAGACACACTCCTGGAGCTGCTTCCTTTTCTGTCTTGTCTGCCCCCAATACATTTCGAGTTACTTCAGGCTAAGGCTGGTATCCTGTTTGTATCTGTGCCCCTCACACCATCTCCCATAGGACAATCCTCCACGGTGCTTGCTAAATATTTGTTGAACAAATAAGTAGAAGGACTACAGTAGGGATTAATTTAGTGAAAAGAATCGGTGTTAATGCTCTCTCAACTTCTAAGGAGGGGGGCATTTAAATACTCCATCCTAAACTATGCTTCACCTTCCCTGCTTGACTATGAAATAAATCTTCTTCTACTTTAAAGATGGTGTCCCGAACACAGTGGCCCACGCACTGCCAAACCCAACCATCTGGGGCTTTCTCCTCTTCTGCCAGGCTATTTGGAAGAAGATGCTAGCTCTTTTAAGTACTGAATATATTATTTTAAGCCATGAGTGCTTCTGGAAAAAGAACTCTGCCTTTTGGCGTTTACCCCAAGATATATGTCTGCACTTGAGATCTAACAATCTTTTCCATTAAACCAATAACAAGGGCAATTCTTCAATTATTTTCCAGAAAACTCAGTGTGTCAGGAAAAGGTATTCGGTAGCCTTGGAGCAAACAGGAATATGCACATTTGCTTTACTGCAAATGATCTCTGGGGCTGTTTTCAACCTGTACAGGATGGCATCTTTCAGAACTGTACAGTGACGCTCTGTAACATCTTTAACAACAGGTTAGGGGATTGCTGTCCTGAAAATTGAATTCAAATGGCACGCCACAGAAGGCTTTGATCCAAACACCCACAAGATCCAAAGCTGGAAGAAGCCTTTCACGTGAAGCTCAGGACGGTTCCAGATGGAAGCCCTTTGGGGAGCGAGGCTCCAGCCGTGTACCCACAGAGCACTCCCACCGGCCTAACACCTCATCAGATGCTTGAAACTTCTCCCCTGCGTTCCTGACAATGGTGTCTGCAGTCACCACTTGAACCTCGGGGAATTCACCTATCCCCAGGTAGTCCATGTCAATTCAGACAGTTCTGTTTATTAGAAAATTATTTCTTATCCTTTCTGGGGCTCCTGCCTCGGGAGCTGTTGGGCTGTTGGTCATTCTGAGTCAATGTTCAGGAGTGCTTTGCAGCCACTGGGCTGGTTCCTTTGATTCCTGACTTTGGCTCTTTATCTGAAAATAAAATCAGATACTACTGGCTATTACCAGCAAAAGTCCAAAGGGACTGTTTACAAAAAAAAAAAGTAATTTAAAAAGGAAAACTAGGGGCGCCTGGGTGGCTCATTGGGTTGAGGGTCTGCCTTTGGCTCAGGTCATAATCCCAGGGTCCTGGGATTCAGCCCTGTTTCAGGTTCTCTGCTCAGTGGGGAGTCTGCTTCTCCCTCTGCACCCCCCCCACCTCACCAATTTGTGCTGTCTTCCTCTGCCTGCCGCTCTGCCTTCTTGTGCTCTGCCCCCCGTCAAATGAATGAATGAATGAATAATAAATATAACTAAAATCTTAAAAAAAAAAAAAAAAAAGGGGGCGCCTGGGTGGCTCAGTTGGTTAAGCAACTGCCTTCGGCTCAGGTCATGATTCCAGGGTCCTGGGATCGAGCCCCGCATCGGGCTCCCTGCTCGGCGGGAAGCCTGCTTCTCCCTCTCCCACTCCCCCTGCTTGTGTTCCCTCTTTCTCTGTCTCTCTCTCTCTGTCAATTAAATAAATAAAATCTTTAAAAAAAAAAAAAAAGGAAAACTAAACTCAATTATCTTTGAGGGGAAAAAAAGATAATTCTCCAAACACTTGTATCTTGTATCCTTCAAAGCACTAAATTCAAGAGGTTATAAGTTTATTCCAATGATGAAGCTGTAAGGACACCATTTTTGGAACTAGCTATCTGGAAGTTTTCTCAGAGCCCATCTGAGGGTGCCAGAACAAAAAATCTCAGTATGTTATAGTCACATTTCACTGACCCCAAATAGTAAAACTTCAACTTAATCAACTACTTCATTCACTGGGTGATTATGGCAAATTTTTGATTTCTCATGCATATTTAATACAGCAGTATGCCCTCTGCTGTGATACACAGGTGGGCAAAAAAAAAACCCCTACAATTCATTTGCTTCCCCCCCTTTTTTAATTTTAATTTTAATTTTTTTTAAGATTTTATTTATTTATTTGACAGAGAGAGACATAGCGAGAGGGGGAACACAAGCAGGGGGAGTAGGAGAGGGAGAAGCAGGCTTCCCCGCGGAACAGGGAGCCCAATGTGGGGCTCGATCCCAGGACCCTGGGATCACGACCTGAGCCGAAGGCAGACGGTTAACGACTGAGCCACCCAGGCGCCCCATTCCCCCCCATTTTTTTAAAGAAAAATACCATATATGCACAAAGTTCTGTCACTATAGTTTCACCATTTCTAAAATTTCACATGAATGATATAATTCAGTTTGTAGACTTTTGTGTCTAGCTTCTTTTAGTTAGCATGAATGCTTTTGAAATTTATCCATTTATTGCGTGTATCAGCAGGTCACAGTTCAATCCTTTTGTTGTTGTTGAGCAATATTTCATTGTACGAATATGTCACAATTTGTTTATCTATTCCTCAGCCGATGGATATTTGGGTTCCTTCCAGTTTTGGGCTATTATTAATAAAGCTACTATGAACATTTGCATCAAAGTCTTTGTGTACATCTGTGTTCCTGCTTCCCTTGGGTAAAGGTGAGTCATATGGCAAGTGTATGTCTCCCTTTTAAATAAGCTGCTAATGTTTTTCAAAGGGTCTGTACCATTTTACATTTCTATCAGTGGGATATAAGAGTTCCAGTTCTTCCTTACCATTGCCAATGATGGTATGGTTGGTCTTTTTAATTTTAGCCATTCTATTTTTTTTTTTTTAGACTTTATTTATGTATCTGAGACACAGAAAGCACGAGCAGGGAGAAAGGACAGAGGAGGAAGCAGACTCCCCACTGAGCAGGGAGCCTGACATGGGACTTGATCCCAGGACCCTGGGAACATGACCTGAACCCAAGGCAGACACTTAACTGACTGAGCCACCCAGGCACCCTAATTTTAGACATTCGAATAGGTGCACGGTGGTATATCTCCACTGTGGTTTTGATTTCCATTTCCCTAATGTTAAATAGTTGAACATCTTTTCCCATGCTTATTGACCATTTTCTTATCCCTTTGGAGAAGTGTCTGTTCAAATCTTCTGCCCATGTTTTTTTTCTCATTATTAAGCTGCAAGAGTCCATTCTATATTCAGGGTACAAGTCCTTTATCAGGTATATGTTTTGCAATTATTTTTCTGTCTATGCCTTGCTTTTCATTTCTTTAATTATGTCTTTCAAAAAGCAAAAGTTTTTAATTTTGAAGCCTAAGTAATGAATGTTTTTCGCTTTGTGCTTTTTTGTGTCCTATTTAAGAAATCTTTGCCTAAACCAAAGTCACTAAGATTTTTCTCTAACATTCTCCTATAGAGCTTCTACAGTTTTAGCCTTTACAACTGAGTCTCCCACTCATTTAGAGCTAATTACTACATATGACATGACATGCAAGTTGAAGTTAAATTGTTTGCACACGGACATCTGATTATCCCAGCACCAAATGTTGAAAGATTATCTTTTCCTCATTGAGCTGACTTGTTATCTTTTCTAAAAATCAACTGACTGTGTCCATTTTTCTCTATGTATAATAGAAAACATTTTTAAAAGGTGATCAAAACCTCAGGCCCCCTCAAAAAATAAAAATCAACTGACCATATGCGTGGGTTTATTTCATACTATATTCT